GAGGGAACTTGTAATGATCAAGCTTCTTTTATTTTGAACACTGAAACATGAAGCATGGTTCTCAGAGAATATAAGATTTGGAAGAGTCTCTGTTGCTGTGTTAGAGTCAGGAGAATATAAAAGAACTGGTATATAGGAGCAAAGGCCTAGTTGAGATTGGATAACATAAAAATGATTGTAGTGGACCCAGTCAGCTCAGTTGGGTGACATTCTTCAGTGACATTCAGCATTACCCAAGTTTGAATGAAAAGAAGATAGATGGCAGGAGTAACCCCAAGGTTGGGGTTTAGAGAGTGATGGGTAGATATACAGTAATGAGACAAGGTATTAAAGTTTTAATGTGACAAGATATTAAGGGTATTAAAGATTTGTGGCAACCAGGATTTGGGTAATACAATACATGTTGATAGAGCTAATTTCAAAGGAGGAAACGTTGCTGAGTAAAGGTAGAGGAAGGCTTTGGAAGTGAAAATGAGGCACAAAGAGCATCTTACTTCCCCTCCCAGCTAAGAGTGGCATGGGGCATGACTGAAGGCACACTCATTATGGAAGAAGGTGGCCAGAGATATAGTGATAAAGAGGAGATCCAGGTTTCTTTGTCTGCAAAAAAGGAACGTGAGAGGAAGAGGCCTAATATACAGAGCAGTTTGTTACCAATAGAATGAGGGTTTACAGGACACAGTGGGAAGAGAGGGTAGAGTTGGTCAGGGACTCAAGAGGGATAAAGGTGGCATGAATGGGTAAGGAGTGGTGGCAAAGCTTTGGTCTAGACTGTCTACAGCTCAGAATCACAGGGATTCACCCACTGGTTAGGACTTAGAATTCTATTAGGGCAGCTGAAAGAAATAAAACTCTGGTTGGGGCTAGCTAGATAAAAGGAGTTGAGGTGAGACTTTGACCTACCTTCCACTCAGTAGCTCTGTCCCAAGGGGAGTCTCAAAGCTGCAATATCTCTCTCATTATCCAAAGTAGATGCTTTCTCAATCTCCTTCTTCCTCCTCTCCTCCTCCTCCTCCTCCTCCTCCTCCTCCTCCTTCAACATTACTTGGAATTCTGATTCACAACTTTTTCAAAAGATTATCATTTGAGCTCCCTCTTCCTTTTATGCTACTCTTACTAGAATGGGGGTGTGAAGATGAAGGTTATAGATACTTTTAAGTGGTAATTATTGCTGGGTTTTATATCAATAATGTAAAGCTCATAATATGTGGCCAAGAACCAAGAAAAAGACAGCTCTAATCAGAGAATGATTGTTTTCAGAGATTTTTTAAAAGGAAAACAATGATGCTAATCTTAAAGTTTCTATTCCCTTGGGACTTGAGATAGCAACTCAGTCCAAGGATTCAAGGTCCCTGACAAGGAGGAAAAATTTAAATGTGGAATATGACTCATGGAATACGCATACATAGAAGAATGATTCAACAGCCATGACTACAAAAAATAAATCCCAAACATACTAAGATAATAAATGACATTTTACAGAACTTCAACACTTAAAAATCACCTTGCATATATTACCTCATTGGAGTCTCCCAATGGCCTGTAAGATCAGGGAAAGGGAATGAGGAAAGGGAATAAGCATTTATTAAGTGCCAGGTACTGTGTTCAGTGCTTTACAAATATTATCTCATTTGATTTTCACAACATCCCTGGGAGGTAAATACTCTTATTACCCCCATTTTGAAAATGAGAGAAAGAGGCAAACAGAGGTAGTAATTGTCTAAGGGTGGATTTGAACTCATGGGCTGCTAGCTAGGTGGCACAGTGGATAGAGTGCTGGACCTGAAGTCAGGAAGACATCTTCCTGAGTTCAAATCTGGCCTCAGACACTTTACTAGCTATGTAACCCTTGGCAAGTCGCTTAAACCCTGTTTGCCTCAGTTCCTCATCTATAAAATGAGCCGGAGAAAGAAATGGCAAAAGCACTCCAGTATCTTTGTCAAGAAACCCCTAAATGGTGTCACAAAGAGTCAGACACAACCAAATAGTGAGGTGTCAAGGACTTGAACACAGATCTTTCTGATTCCAGGAACAGCGTTCTATCTACTATGCCACTCAGCTGCAATAGGTACTACACATATCATTAACTATTTTACAGGTGAGGAAATTGAGACTCAGATAGGTTGGGACTTGCCCATAGCTAGTAAGTATGGGAAACAGGATTCAAACTCAAGTCTAAATTGACTTCAAGTCAATTTTATTGCATTGCTTCTCATTACAATGCTCATCAAGTAGACTGGGGGACTTGTTTAAATTTAGCAGGGGTTCTCCTGGTGACCCCTGATATGGAAAAAATAGAAAGAGGGAAAAAAACAAACAAAAAGAACCCAAACATCAAATTAGTTGAGAGTATAGTGTATGCAATGTTTTAAATTTAGAATCTCCCACCTCTGCAAAGAGAGGGAGGTGTATTTTCCCTTTTCTTCTTTGGGGGCCAGTTCAGTCATTATAATCACATCGAATTTCGGTGGTTGGTTGGTTGATTAGTTGGTTCTTTCTTTTTGTTGTGGTCCTTATGTTATCATTTTCCAGTTTTTCTTACTTCTCTGTGTATTAGTTAATATGAGTCTTCCCATTATTTTATGAATGCTTCATATGCATCATCTCTTACATTCTTGTGTCACAATTTGTTTAGCCATTTCTCAATCAATAGGCTTCACTTCCTGTTTGTTGCTACCACCAAAAAGAAATTGTTATGAATATTTTCCGTGCACATGAGATCTTTTTTTCTGTCTTTCATTCCAATCTCTTAATCAAAAAGTGTGGATATTTTAATCATTTTAAAAGCATAATTCCAATTTTTTTCTAGAATAAGACCAATTCATGATTCTACCAAAAATGTATTAGTGTCCTTGTCTTTCTACAGCCACTCTAATACTGCCTTTTTCCATCTTCTGTCATCTCTGCTAATTTGCTGGGTATGAAATGGAACTTCAGAGTTATCTCAATCTACATTTATTTTATTATTAAGTGATTTGAAGCATTTTTTCATAAGGTTGTTAATATTAAGAAATGTCTCCTGATCACATACATTTGTTTTATTCCTCTATGGTATCTTGCATATCAGATTCCTATCAAAGCTATTTTGTGAAAAGTATTTTCCCTAAATCCACAACTTCACTTCTTATCCAAGTCGCATTGATTCTGCTTATGCAAAATATTTTCAATCTCATGTAATCAACATTAATTATTTTATTTTTTGTGATCATCTTTATCCCTTGTTTCATTAAGAACTTATTCCCTACTCACAGCTGTGAAGAACATGTGATCTGGCTCTTTTCCATGCTTTTTTTTTTTAATGTAATGACCTTTAATATTCAGGTTATATCTTTTTTGAACTTATTTGTGGTATATTTTTGCCAGACTGCTCTCTAGTTTTCCCAACAGCTATTGTGACACAGGAAGTTCTTTCCCAAAATACTTCATGCTTTGAGATTTATTTATCATTATATTTATTCAGATTTATCACTGAGTTGAGTTATTGAATTTGGTTGTTTCTGGTTCTTCCTTACCTAGATTGTTATACTAATCTACTTTTCTATTGTTTAACTATTACCAAGTAGTTTTGATGATCACAGATTTTTTTTGAGTACTAAAAGTACTATTCTCCTTTCATTCTCTCCTCATCTTTTTTTTTTTTTCATTATTTCCCTGGTGATTCTAGGACCTTTTCCCCCAAAATTAAATTTCTTATCACTTTCCCCTTTTCTGTAAATTACCCCCTCGCTAGTTGGGTATAGCAACAAATCTATAAATTAACTTAGGTAATATTGTTATTTTATGATACAGGTATTTTTTACATTTATTTATAATTTTTTTGTGTTTAACACACTGTTGTAAAGCTATTGTGTGGTATTGATAAATATGTATATTCTTTAATGTTCCCATTCAAAGTTGCCATAGACTTTCAATTTGTCAGTTCTTCAACAGTTTGTTCAGTACTACATTTTTCTTTTTATATTAGATTTTTATAGTTCTAAGAGAAGAACATTAAATTCTTCTATAATTAAGATAACTTTTACTTTATGGATGCCCATTCAGGGAATAAATATTTGGTATTAATATTGGTTTATATTTTATGGTTCTTTTGAACATAATTTCTCTCCTATTCCCCAAATCCATGGGCATTTATTTCAGTTCTACTTCTTTGCTACTATACAGATTGCTGCTATGAAAATTTTTATGTATATGAGAGCTTTCTTTCTCAATTTCATTTCTGTCTGTACTAGGTCTAACTCAGTCTATTTTAATGTTTCAGGCTTGGGACTAGAATGCAATGAAACCCTAGTATAAATTCAATGCAAATAAATTTACTCACAATATTAATAAAAGGATATAATTTACTAAAAAGAGTCACTGTTCCCCTCTACCTCCACACTGATAAGAGGAGCAATATAGGATCAGAAAGACATCCTACAGGGCTGTAGGAATCACTATCATAAATAAGCATTTATTAAGATCTTACTATATTCCAGCCATTCTGCTAAGTGCTAGAAATACAAAGAAAGGCAAAAACATCGTCCCTTCTCTCAAGGAATTCATATTCTAATGGGTGAGGCAACATACAAATAGCTATGTACACACATACATGCACATATATATATGTATATGTGTATGTGTATATATGATGTGTGTATGTGTGTTTATATAATGTATGTATATATAGTAATTCCACTAAAACTCAAACACTTCATAGGCTAGGTTTTTTAAAAATATTTTATTTTTCCCCCAATTGCATGTTAAAACAAGTTTTAACATTTGTTCTTTTTTAAAGTTTTGACTCCCAAATTCCGTCCCTCCCCTCTCTGAGACAATAAGCAATCCAATATAGGTTATACATGTGCAATTATGTAAAACATTTCCATATTAGTCATTTTGCATAAGAAGACTTGAGAAAGAAAGAAAGAAAGAAAGAAAGAAAGAAAGAAAGAAAGAAAGAAAGAAAGAAAGAGAAAGAAAAGAAGAAAGGAAGAAAACAGCACACTTCAATCTGTGTTCAGACAATATAAGTTCTTTCTCTAGAGTCAGAGAGCATGCTTCATCATTGGTCTTTTGGGATTGTCTGGGATCATTGAATTTAGGTTAGACTTTTTATACCCATAGTCTTATGGAAAAGCCACATCCCAAAGACTGACTCTTTTCCTCCTTAAAGTTGTGACTGAGACTTAAGCTTGGCATTTGCCTAAGGCTTTCCTTATTGGTGGAAAGAACAATTAATTACTTGACACTCCCTCCTCATTTACAAAGGGAATCCACCCCAGCCTACAGGACAGATGTCATTTCTGCCACAACATCTTTGTGGTATATGTCTAGCAATGGGATCTCGGAGTCAAAGAGTATTGATAATGTCTTCCTATAAACCTTCAACAGAAGATCCATCCAGCATGCGAGAAGGCTTCCTCTGGTTCTTCCACCATCTGAAAGATATCATTGTAATAACAGGACTGTCCATCTGCATCATCAGTAGAGACCAGTATACCTTCTTTTCTAGCTCACACATGACAACATTGATAACTTTTATTCCATGCTTAATCTTCATAGTTATCATTCTTGGTTACATCTATTGGGCATTTCTCCATTGTCTTTTTTTGTTATTTGTCATTTTGATCATTCCAAGAATGTGGGCAGTTGTTTGTTTGAACTCAAAAACCTTTCTCAGAGTTCAGTCTGAGGAAACAGAGCCATGTTTCCATGTGACTTACCCTTAAGTTTTAAATTACTCTTTAGATTCCTATTCCTTCTCAAAGGCACATCTGGCCCTGAACAGTCCACATTTTTTTTTCTCCCTGGCAAGGGGATTGGAAGGGATGAATTACAAAGAGCATTAAAGTGGGAAGGAGTATGGCAGCTATGTTCTTAAAGGTCGGAGTTTATACATCCTTAAAAATCACTCTGAAGAAATCACCTCTGAAGCAGGCCAGATCATATTGGAGGGAAGGAGGGAGGGTGGAATTAAATTAAGCAGCTTTAATATCAGCAAAGTAGCACAGGCTAGAAAGGGAACCACTGCGGCGGATGGGCCTGGCGGCAGATTGACGGGGGCCCGCTTGGCAGCTGCACAAGCACCACTGGTTATCAGGCCCACCTCCAAGGTGTTTTGAGAACTTAGTGCAAATGTGCTAGCATCATGTTTTAATTAAACATTTAATATGTATCATGCAAATTTATTGATTCTGCCAGGAAAAAAAAAACAAGCTGCTATTTGCAAATTTCCTAATGTATGCTTCATGTGGTGCAGTAGCGAAAACAACTCTAACATTTGGGCACCCTGGTGTAGTGAAAAAAAGTCCTGGCCTTGAACCTGAGGCCTCTGTTAACATACTGTAGGAGAAAGAGCTTAGGGACTGGACTCCTGTGGACCAGGGCTGGAATCCCGGTTCAGCTACTGACTTCCTTTGTGACATTGGGCAAATCAGTTAATTTCTCTGAGTTCACACCTTGGGAAAATGTGGGTAACAATATACACTATCTCAGAGAGTATCTGTGAAGTTGCAGTGAGATAAAGTAATGCAATATGTAAAATTCTGTAAAGATATGTTATTACGAATACATAACAGATCATTGTTATTATAAATTGTGGTCGTGACAAATATTCACCTCCAATCCAACATCTGGGAGACAAATGACACTGGAAGAGGTTGAGGGGCTTCAATGGGAGTGGGAGGTAGAAGGAGGTGATTGTAAATAACCAGCTGAAAGGAGTGACTCACTGTCAGAGGGTTTGTGCAACAGGTGATAGCTATTTTTTCCCTATTTGGGGCAGCTAGGTGGCACAGTGGATAGAGTGCTGGGCCTGGAGTCAGGAAGACTCCCATCTTCCTGAGTTCAAATCTGGCCTTGGACACTTACTAGTGTGTGACCCTGGGCAAGTTGCTTAACCATATTTACCTCAGTTTCCTCATCTGTAAAATTAGTTGGAGAAGGAAATGGCAAACCATTCTAGTATCTTTGCCGAGGAAAACCCCAAATGGGGTCGTGGAAAGTCAGGAATGACTAAACAACAGTATTTTTTTTTGCCCACAGCAACTCCTAAAGCTATCTACTAAAGATATAGGCCACAGTGCAATGGAAAGAGCACTGGCTTTTGAGTCAAAGACCCTGGGTTCAAATCTTGGTTCTCTACTTCTTTACTATGTGACGTTGCTCATACATTTTCCCTCTCTGGGCCTCAGTGAAACTACCTCAGTATGGTTAAACTAAAGGATCTTTTCCCATTCTAACTCCCATGATCCATTTACAACCTCAGGGGTTACTTCTCCCCAGATTTGGCCCTAATATCAGAGATGAAGAGAATACCAAACCCTACTGTACTTTGATATCAGGCTAAATTCTAACATCGTTGAAAAAATACTTTACATTCAATATGGAATGGTCCTCCTTGACAGGCACTCCCTTACCCCCACTGACTTTGCCTCACTTCCCAAAGAATAAGCCCTACTACTGAAATGTTCTATGTGTAGATAATTTAATATCTGTTAGGAATATTGTTTTCAACTAAAACACTAAGGGATTAGATTTGTTCTGCTCGTTCATTAGAATGCAGAACTAGAACCAAGGAAGGAAAGTTCTGAAATGGTGAATTTCAGCTTGATGTCAAAAAAAAACCTTCCTAACAATCATAGCTGCCCAAAAGTAGTCCGTTTTTTAAGGATATAATAAGTTTTTATTTATAGTCTTATAGAAAAAGGGAAAACCTTAACTTGCAAGGCAATATACTTTTATTTCCATTGAATGGAAAGGGAGTTCTTCATCACTGGTGACCACTTCAAATTGAAATTGGACCACTACTCGGTATGTTGTGTCAGGAATTTCTGCTCAGGGTCAGATTTAATCATTTAAGGAGCAAACATTTCTTAAGTGTCTTCTATATATCAGGAGCCATGTTAAACACTGAGGATGCAAAGATAGAAGTGAAAATTCCTGCCTTCAAGGAGCTGAAAACCTGTACCTATATTAAGTATACTCAGGATAGACATTAAATAACAAAGTAATTAATTAGGGGGAGTGCTAGCAGCTAAGGGAGTTGAGAAGGGCTTCCTGTTGAAGGTGGTATTTGAACTGAGCTTTGGAGAAAAATAGAGATCCTAAGAGGTAAAGGTGAAAGGCATTGGGAGACAGGTTAGGCAAAGACCCAGAGACAGAAGATGGAGTTGTGAACAAGAAGAAAGTGAACCCTAGGATGTATGAAAGGGACTAATGCATAGGAAAGCAGGGAAGGTGGGTTAGAACCAAGTGGAGAAGAGCTTTAAATGCCAAACAGAGGAGTCTATATTTGATCTGAGAAGTAATCCAAAGCCACTAGAATTTATTAAGCAATGGACTAATGTGGTCTGACCTGTGCTTTAGAACAATCACTTTCGTTGGACTAGCTCTCCAACGGCACTTCCAGCTCCAGGTATTTGGTGGGAACTCGCACCAAAATGCTAGAAGGTATTTGACTCATGTGTAACATGTTCTTTGTACATGCTTATGCTCAAGTGACTGTAAACAAGCCTCCTAAAGGCAGCCTTTTCCCACTTCAGTTTCAAAGTTGCATACATGATGTGCTGGCCTCTCTCCCATCCTTGTCTGCTCCCTCATTTTCAGAACTCACCTACGTTTGGTCAATGCATCAGGAGTTTATAGACAGGAGCAAGTAACTTCCCCTCTTTAAGTCTTGGTTTTCTCCTCTGTAAAATGGGCTCCCTTTTGGGGTCTGTTGTGACCATCAAAAGAAAAAAAACATATATATGAAAGGGTTTAACACAAAAAGGCAAGGGTTTTTTGGTTTGTTTGCTTGGTTTTAATACTCCCCTCAGTTCTCCTTTGACATCTTATCACAGCATAGAACTGACTCTAGGGTCTGAAAATCTTTTGTTCCTGTATTCCAAACCTAGTGAGTTCAACCAGATTGGAAAAGACTCAGAAAACGGAATCTGCATCTGTCATCAGAGGACCAGCCTCCCTCAGTTCAGAGATGCTCAGGACCAGAGAGTTGGATCCTCCAGATACTGAATGGTTTTTGTCTAAAACAGTGAAAACTGTCTGCTATGGCCTAGATAGGCTGTGGCCTGCATCAATGGAGACAGGACCCAAAAAGAGGAAACCATATATCCTGAAAGTATTAATATGGTATTATAATGACTAAGGTGAAAGGATACCTAGAGTCATAACGCTGGAAGGGACTTTCGGCAGCATCAGATTTAGCTCCTTCATTTTACAGATATGAGACCTAAGGCCCAGACAGGGAAAAGCCATTTTCACAAGAGGTAGAACTAGGATTTGAACCCAGGTCCTCTGTCTCCAAATACCTTCCAAATACCACATTTCCTCTCAATACGGTTGGGATTATTCCCAATCTTAACTGAGTTAATCCCAAAATTAGACTCCAAGTTTCCTCCATGTGGTAACCACTGGAAGCTGGGCCAGACCCAGAGTCACTATAACTAAAGTGTTACTTTGGGCCAACTCCTATCAAGACAACATAGACCCTTAGGACTTGGCTAGAACTAGAATAGTCCCTTCTTTGGAGAGAAGATCAAAGGAACATAAAATTTAGGGTATGAAAGGACTTTAGACACAATCTAGTCTAAATATTTAATAGATGAGAAAATTTAGTCTACATATATCCAACCCCTACATTTGACACAGAACGAAACTGAGGTTCAGAGGAGGTGTAATTTGCCCAGGGTTACACAGGTACTAAGCAGATTAGCCAGTATCTGAGCCCATGTCATCTAACTTGAGATAAGTGAGGAGAGAAGGCAAGTACAGTCTACCCAGCCTACACAGTCTTTTGTACCCCTCCAAAAAAAAAAAAAAGAAAGAAAGAAAAAAGCAAGCCCTCCTAATCAGTTTGGTTTTTCTGGTGTGGGAGGAAGCTAACCACATATTTCTGTGAACCTCACGTTCATCTTCCCCTACACACACCCCCGCTTAGATGATAACTTGTGCATCTTTTCAGAGCAAGGAAGTATTAACTTCCCATGCCTCTCACGAAGGCCTCCACTGGTATAGCCAGCACTTCACATTCTCAGCTTTGCTGACACCTATAGCATTAGGCTTTTGTTTTTACTCACATTCAAGTGAGGATACTGTTCCTGTGGAATGAGCTGGGAGAATGTCATTTCACCTAAGACAGACATAGCAGCCAAAAGAAATGATGTTATCTTGAGTTGTGTTGAAGAAATGCATTGAGGAAAGAGAGAATAGTGACAGAGAGAATGTTGTCTCTAGGAATGGGTGACTCTGGTACTGTAGTACTCCAGTACTATCTAGATCCAGGGTAATGTACTTCAAGGGTTGGGTCTAGCTCTACATGTCATACTTTTCAAAGAACACTGACAAGTTGGAGTACATCCAGAGGAGGGTGACTAGGCTGGTGATGAGTGTGAAGACCAAATGATACAAGGATGGGCTAAAGGACCTAGAGATGTTTTGCCCCCAAAAAACAAAATCATTTAAAAAAAACTTCTATTTTTGCCTTTTGATTTTATATCACCTTTATTTCCCAACATACCCATCCCTCCCTCTTCTTTTATCAGAGTAAACCATGTTTGTAACAAAAAAAAAAAAACCCTAAACTAAAAGAAGAGTTAGATGGCTCAGTGGATACGGCACTAGACTGGGATGTAACTTCAAATCTGGCCTTACACACTTACTAGATGTGTGACACTGGGGAAATCACTTAACCTATGTTTGCCTCAATTTTCTCATCTGTAAAATGGGGATAGTAATAGCACTTACCTCCCAAATTTATTGTGAGGTTCAAACAAAATCTTTCTAAAGCACTTAGCACAGTGCCTGGCACATAAAAATGTTAGGCATTATTATTGTTTTTGTTATTTTTTAAGAAAGAGGGGGAAAAAGTTGTCTGGAAGGATTAGCATATGCACAAGAGATGAGATTTTTTTGTACTTGACCTCAGAGGGCAGAACTGAGCAATGAATATCAGAGGGGCTGATTTTAGCTTGCTGTAAGATAAAACATCTTAACAATTTTTAAAAATTGAATGAGTTGCCTTGGGAGGCAATGGGTCCCCTAACACTGGAGGTCTTCAAGTAGGGGCTGGATGGCCACTTATCATGACACAGGGGGTTCCTGTCCAGCTACACACTGGATGAGATGCCCTGAATGCCCTCTGAGGTCCTTCCCAACTTGGACATCCCATGATTCTTGAATCTTCTTCGAGGATGGATGCTGACCTAGGAGACAGAAGAGAACAGCTTGGTTTGCACAGCCCAGGTGCAGCTGGCAAACCCACCAGCCTGAAATCTCAGCTGGTGACCTGTGAACTAAGCAAATTTAATACAGAAGTCATTGAGCAAGAAGCAACCAGGAACTCTGTGGGCTGTGTCATCCTCACAGAGTGACTCTCCTGATTACAACCAGTCTTCAACCCAATTAGAAGCTGTTAATTAGTTTTGTGTGCTGCACAACAGTTGGAGAAAAAGGTCACTTTGGTATGTGCATATTCTTTTTTTTTCTCATTCTCTCTAAGCCTCAGAACTTCCTCCAAGGAACAGTAATCAGTAGGAAAAAAGCTATACATTTCTGTTCATGGCTTTCTCACTGGTCTGAGAACTTTCGAGTATAATGACTCTCATCACCTTTCTGCCCACAGGTTTGGAGGAGGTAAATGATCACCCTCAGATTCAGCTACCATGATCAGTCTGGAGGTGGGAAAGCTGAAAAGAGACCAGGTGAGAGGACTAGGAGGTCCCCCCAATGGTCTGGAATTCAATGATAGTGTGTGTTTGTCTCCCACTCCAATCGGGACAATGACCTTTGTATAGGACCTTTGCTCCATGAGAGGCTACTTATGGTGTGACTTTCTTCTTGGCCATCTGTCTTCTAATGGAACAGAGATTCTTAAACCTTTTGTGCCACTGACCCCTCTGGTAATCTGGTGAAGGCTACCAACTCCTCGGAAACATAATTTTAAGCACATAAAATACATAAGACTAAAAGGGATTGAAATATAATCATAAAAATATAAAGAAAAATTCACAGATTCCCCTAAAAATCTATGCATGGAGCAAGTTGAGACCCCTCAATAAAATACAAATTCCTTTAGAACAGAGTTTGTCTTTATTTTTAGCATTGTGACTAGGAGAGACAGTGGATAGAATGTTGGACCTGGAGTCAGGAAGACCCAAGTTCAAATTCAGCCTCAGACTCTTACTAGCTGTATGACCCCAGAAGTCTGCCTCAATTTTCTCATCTATAAAATGGGGATAATAATAGCACCTACAATCACAGAGTTGGTGTGAGGATCAAGAGATAATATTGGTAAAGCTCTAAGCACAGTGCCTGGCACATAGTAGGTCTTACATAAATGTTAACTGTTGTTATTATCAGACCTTGCTGGGCTTCAGCTTTCTTAACTCTAAGATGAAGGAAATGTTGCAGCCTGTCCATGTCAGGAGGAGAGCTTACCTTCCGCTAGGACCACAACCATTCAAACAGAGCCTAGGAGTTGCCTGACTCCTTTCTGCTCACGATGCCACATGTATAGTGACTACTAGAAAACAACAGTGAACTGTACACTAGGATCCCCTTGTGAGTTATGGTCCTTCATCAGGATAATCTTCATTTCTGTAACCTCTGCAAGTAGAGCAAATCTTATGCAAGCCATTTAAACTCCTAGGAAATAGAATGCACTGAAGCAATTCAAGAACATAGATTTAGAGCTGAAAGACACAATAGACGTCACATAGATCAAGTCCCTAATTTTTTTTTAGATAAGAAACTGAGACTTTCTTTGAGAAGTGACGTGACCCATTCAAGGTCACACAAATATAAGTGGCTGAGCCAGGATTTGAATCCAGGTTTTTCCTAAACTCCGTTTTCCCACTATAGTGGCTGCTATTTTTTTCAAGATGGCAGATGGAAGAACCATAAATAGAACTGAAAGTACATTTTGATACCTTGACCAGGGAATTAGATTCCATCACAGTCAGTCAGCTCCTTTGAAAGTGACCATGGAGCACACAGATAGACAAATGTAAAAGGCTGAACAGCCAAATGGACCCAGGCCTCACAATGCTTAATCAATACTACTTATTCCACCACTTTACAGAGAGACAGATGAGTACTGACTTCTGCTATGTCTTGGGGAGGCAGTAAAAGAGTAATTTCCTTTGTCATCCTAGGTTGTAATATATATGTATGTACATATATATTATATATTGTGCGTATATATATACCTAGGCAGTGTGCTGCCCAAGTTCTAGTCTATCCTCTCTCAGAGATTAAGCTGTAGGTTGTGGGGGGAAAAACATAGCCCCCCCTAAAATGCCCTTCATGCATATAGTGAGAAATTAAATGAAGTTTCTCCTTTACTGTGGTGATCTCCATCGCCACACAGATACACAAATCCATTTTGTTGTGAGTTGGTACAACATAGTGAACAGAACGTGGGACTTGGAAGTCAGAAAGATCTGGACTCAAATTCTGCCTCTGACATTACAGGACCATGGACAGCTCATTCAATTTCTCTAGTCCGCCTATTCCTCTTTTGTAAAATGGGGACCCACGGTCTCTCCCTCTCTGGCATGTTGAAGGGCTCACTGTGGGCAAAGCACTTTGCAAATGGTAAAGCACAATATAAACATAGATATGTTTTCCAATGCCTTACTTATTGGCACCCAGCGAAAATAGTTCTAGCTTTCTGCCACTACGTATTAGAGGATTTAATTTTTCTTTTGTCCATAAATTAGAAGCCAAAGCTTTTGTCCAGAACAAGCTTGCTGACAGATTCTATCACGTTACCAGATTTTTCCACTCTTTTCCACTTGAGGGTATACCTTATCTTCTTCAGGCTAATGCAAAATTGTTCTGTTTTGTTGTTTTTAATGCAGATGAAGAATGGACTGATAGTGACTTGAGAATTCACATGTTTCAACATTCCAGCTGTCTAGAAATCTTAAATTGCATTGCTTATGGTGACTACCTCACTCCTTAGGTCTTTTTTTTTTCTCTGAAAAGGACCTGTGATTTCATTTGTGTGTGAAAACTTCATCCAGCAACTGGTCTTGAATTTACAGTCAGAGAGAATTACCTGGGACGCTGAGAAAGGAAGCAACGTTCCTTAGGCACACAGCTAGTGCATATCAGAGGCAGATGTCAAACCCAGGGCTTTCTGGCCACAGAGCCAGCAGCCCTCTTGGTCTATTGTGCCAGGTTGTTATCTCATACATGTAAAATTAGGAAGAGGGGTGAATCACAAGAGATTAAGCATAGAGCTTCAGAGGTGATAAGGGAGAATAAAGAACTTAGTTCCATCTCTCATTTTACAGATGAGGAAGCCAGACCAGAGAGCAATGTCTTGAATGAGCTAACACAATTAATTAGCTAGCCAAATCAACAACAAGTATTTATTCAGTTCTTTCTATGCCCCAGGCACCAGCTATGGACAGAGCTGGGATCTGAACTTAGGTTTTCTGACCCCTCTGAGGAAGAGTTCAGTGCTTCTTATGAAGACACCAAGATGGCCTTCCAATCCACTGGCTTGCACCCACGCTTGTTCATCCATCAGGCTCTACAACAGAAAAGGCAACGAATGTGCTTATGCATAAATGGAAAAGAAAACTGTCTACATGGTATAATTTAAGGGTCACCAGGGAGGACTGTGGTCCCAAACAGCCTGATCAAATAGGGAGAACACTGGATTAGCAGTCATGGATTGAGACCTGACTCTGCCACCAATGCCCTGTCTACATGACCTCAGGTGAATGAATGACTTTGCCTCTCCAAGTCTCAATTTCTTCATTTGTAAAATGAGGTGTAATAAAATTTACATTCCCTATGTCACAGAACTGTCATGAAGATCAAATGCAGAAAGTTGTGTAAAGTTCTATGAATTTGAAAAGATATTTATACACATGTATGTACATATATATTACATATTGTGTGTGTATATATACACACATATTTATAGGTCATCCATTTATTATCATTATAATTGCCCTTAATCAATGCTGCAGAGTCCATTATTAGGACTGCTTTTCTTCAGACTCACCATTAGCCTTCTCTAAATATCTTTATAAAAAATTAACTTTAATTTCTCTCTTTTACTTTTTTATAGCACCTTCATTTCCCAATAAATCCCACCAGAGTGACCCATCTCTTGTAAATAGATAGATAAGTAGGTAGGTATGTAGATAGATAGACATACAGACAGATAGATGAATAAAAATAAGAAAGGGAAGATGAGGGTAAGGAAGGAGTTTGGAAAATTAACTTACATTATTCAAGTCTGATGGTACATGTCGTGTACCCATAGACCCCCTCTTCTGAAGAGAAGGGAAATATACTTTCTTATTTCTTTTTTGGAGATGATTTTGGTCATTATAATTGCCCAACATTCAATTTTTGCTGCTGTTCTTTCTGTTTATATTGCTAGAAACATTGAGTATATGGTTCTCCTGCTTCTGCTTAGTTCTCTTTGTATAAATTCATATAAATCTTCCCATTAAGCATCATCTTTGAAAATGCACTTACTCAAGGAGTGGAGGTAACATCCAGGCCTTTTTACTTCCTGCTAGATGAGTTCATCTGGTCATTTCCCTCCCTTAAAGGAAACTGGGGCTAAAATACCTCTTTCGGCAGGAGGTCTTTCACAATCATACCAAAACTGTCCAATGACGAAAACAGCACAGCTGAGGACTACTGAATCTGGACTCAGAAAGACCTAAGTTCAAATCCAGTCTCAGATGCTTACTAGCTGTGTGACCCTGTGCAAGTCATTTAACCTCTGTTGGTCTCAGTTTCCTCAATTGTAAAATGGGGATAACAACAGCACCTACCTCAAAGGTTGTTAGGATCAAATGTTGTAAGGTGTTTAGCACAGTGCCTAGCACATAGTAGATACTATATGAATGCTTACTCCCTTTCCCCCTTCCCTCTGAAATTATCTTCTATTTATATTGCATATATTTTACACATATAGAGTTGTTTCCATATTGTCTCCTGCATTAGAGTGTGAGCTCCTCGAGGGCACGAACTATGCTTTCACCTTTCTCTGTATCCTTAGTATTTAGCACAGTATCTGATGAACAGTTAAAACTTAATAAATGTGCCTTAGTAATAGTACCTACCTCTCAGGGCTATTATGAGGGTCAAATGAGGTTGCACATATAAAGCTCTTCACAAATGTTAAAGCGCTGTATAAACGCTACCTGTTGTTGTTGTTGTTGTTGTTGTGACTGAGGAGGGGCTAAGAGAAGAGGCAGGGGCCACTCAAGACCAGCTTGGTCACTTCTGTTTTGCAGAGGCCCATCCTTAAGGCATGACATCACACAGTTAGACTCTTTCCTTCAACTTCTTATCCAAGCACCCCCTGGGCCCACATCACCTGCCATGGTCAGCCACTGGCTATCAAATGAGCCAGTCCTATTTGCCAGTCAGTTTCTTAAAGACAGACCTCACAAGGCCCAGACTGAACCATATCAGCCCTTTATTTTCAAGTGTCTGAACATCTCTTTCCCCAGGTTCAGAGAAAGATGACACAAAGAGAAACCAGAGAGACTGCTGGCTCACAGGAAATCCTTTGCTTCTCTGACTCTGACTTTCAGTTTGAATCTGTTTGTCAGAGACCTGGAGGATCTCTGAGCTTGAAAGGAACTTCAGAAATCAGACAGTCCAACCAGAGCCTGAGCAACCATCCCTGGCAGGTGTCTACTAAGTCTTTATCTGAAGACCCTCCTTTGGGCAGAGTTCCCACAGGTAAAAGTATGATACCCAATGTGGACAGATGAAAGGCAAGAAAGAAAGAAGGAAAGAAAGAAAGAAAGAAAGAAGAAAGAAAGAAAAGAAAGAAAAGAAAGAAAGAAGAAAGAAGAAAGAAAGAAAGAAAGAAAGAAAGAAAGAAAGAAAGAAAGAAAAAAGAAAGAAGAAAGAAAGAAGAAAGAAAGAAGAAAGAAAGAAAGAAAGAAGAAGAAAGGAAGAAGAGAAAGAAGGAAGAAAGGAAGAAAGAAGAGAAGAAAGAAGAAAGAAAGGAAGAAGAAAGGAAGGAAGGAAGGAAGGAAGGAAGGAAGGAAGGAAGGAAGGAAGGAAGGAAGGAAGGAAGGAAGGAGGAAGAGCTGTGTTGCTCAGCTGGCCAATTCCAGTTGGGTCCCCAGTGGGGCAGCTCACCTCCCTGACACCAAAGAGGATCAGAGATCCTCTTTGAGAATGAAGGACAAACAACAACAATAACAACAGTAGCAATCTGAATACCTCCAGGATAGAGAAGTCACAAGCTCTTGCAATAGCCCATTCCACTTCTGGAAAGCTTTGATTGTTAGGGATTTGTTTTTGTTTTTGTTCTTCCTTAGGAGAGTCACAGTGATGTTTAAAAAAAAAAATTCTGGACTAAGAGTCAAAGAAAGCCCAGTTTTGAATCTTGCCTCTTATACTTACTAGCTAGGTAATCATTGTAGCCCTCTGAACCTTGATAGCTTCATCTGTAAAATGGGTATAATAATGCTTATAGTACCTACTACACAGGTTTCTTGTGAGGATCAAAATAAAATTATGTCAAGTGCTTTATAAACCTTAGAGCCTTTTATAAATGCCAATTGTTAATGTCAAACTGAGTCAAAATCTGCCTCTCCACAACTTCCACTCCCTAGTTCTGCATTCTGGGGCCAAGCAAATCATCGAGTCAAGTCAGCAAGCATTAATAAGCACTTACTCTATATCAGGTATTGTGCTAAGGGATACAGACACAAAAAAGGCAAAAAAAAAAGCCCTTCTCTCAAGGAGCTCCCATCCTGGGGGTGGGGGAGAGAGACAGCCAGCATACAAGCAATTATATACAAACAAGACACATACATGGTAAATAAGAGGAGAAAGATGGCAATAGCCTGGGGCGTGTTGGGGAAAGGGGAATGACCAAGAAAGGCAGAAAGTTGGATTTGAGCAGAGGTTGAAAGGAAGCCAGGTAAACTGGGAAGCAGAGGTGAGGGGGAAAGAGGCATGGGGCATGGTCAATGCAAAGGTCTGGAGTCAGGAGATGAAATGTCATGTGTGAGAAACAGCATGAAGGCCAAGGCTACTGGATTTTGTAGATTCTAATCATTCTTCCACCTGACAGCCCTTCAAATTCCTTGAAGAAAACTATCAACCACCATCATCCTCCAGCCCCATTTCTCAATCCCCCAAGGAAGTCTTCTCTTCTCTGGCCTAGACATCCATCCCCAATTCCTTCAGCTGATTCTTGGGCTGGCATGATCTTCAGTTCCAAAATTGTCCTATAGATTGCTCTCCTCTAGATAAGTTAAAACAGTTTGTTAATGCCCTTCCTAACTGAAGTCAATATGCCAGATATAATCAGAGCAGGGCAGAGTCCAAGGGGAATCATACCCTACTGTCTTTTTATACTAGGTCTCTCAATGTGGCCTAGGGTCATGTTAACTTTTCCTACTACTCTACCGTGCTTTAAAGATTCATCTTATTAAATTGTTATTTAACTTATTGGCTCTCCCTTCCCAGTTTTGAGTCATCTGTAGATTTCATCAGTATGCTATCTATGCCTTTATCAGAGTCACTAATAAAAGTAGTTGACAGCCCAGGGTGAAGGACAGGGTTCCCATCCTATGCATTGTACTTTTGGATTACTTTAATCATTAGGAGAAGAAGGAGGAAAAGAAAAAGAAGGAGAAAAAGGAGGAGAAGGAGGAGAAAACAATTAATATTTTAATGGTATTTTAAGGATCATGATCTGACCCTCACAATCCCAAGAAATAGATGTTATTATTATCATCCTTATTTTACAGATAAAGAAACCTGGGCTTAGGGAGGTTGAGCGAATTGCCAAGGGTCACATAGCTGATGTTTCTGAGTCAGGATCCAAATTCTTTTGACTGCACATCCAGCATTTATCCACTGTACCGCCCTGCTCATTCTGATAGTTGGGCAGCTGGGTGGCTCAGTGGGTAGAGCCCTGGACCTGGAGTCAGGAAGACCTGAGTTCAAATCTGGCCTCAAACACTTACTAGCTGTGTGACCCTAGGCAAATCACTTAGCCTTGTTTGCCTCAGTTTCCTCATCGGTAAAATGAGCTGGAGATGAAAATAGCAAAGCATTCCAGTATCTTTGCCAAGAAAACCCTAAATAGGGTCATGAAAAGTTGGACACCATTGAAATGACTAAACAACATCGATAATCTCAGGACAGGTGCTTTTCAGCAAAGAGACAATCATATCTGAGGCCAGACATCTTACATCCATTCATATAGACACCTACATTTATAGAAGTTGACCCTGTAGGAAATGATCCCACAGCATGCTTCTATTCATTATTCAGTGCTCTAAACTGAATCTTGCCATCGTAATGTTGTTTCTACAATCCTCAAATTGAAAACCGACTTGATTTGAGTCTACGGGCAAAGTTGTCTAAGTTTGTTTAGCTGTGAGTTGCCTGGGGATGACCGAGATCCAAAATACTCTCTAATTTTTTTCTCAAGTCCTCTGCACAATAGTACTGAAAGAGGATCCACAGAAGAGCCCAGGGTCTGAAGCCCAGCAACTTGGGTTCAGATCCACTTTGCCTACTTGT